ATTTACCTTCATAGTTAAAGTCATATCGTTTATTTACATTTTAGTTTTAGTTCACTTTAAAACCAACCAAACATTCGATCGCACTTAGATTAAGTTAGTACTTGCATTCTCATCGCTTCTACTTCCCTCAGAACTGGTTCGACAACTTACTTCCACTATACAACATTTGACTTAGGAGCCTTGAAAACTCCTAACATCACTAAGCAGAGAAGTTCTGCAGTCTTGTTTATTAGCTCGACCTTATCAGATATTTGTTTGCCACTAGGTTGAATTCTCTTACTTTTCAAGTCTTTTGTTCTGGTTAGTTTCTTTCTATTTTATTTTTGTTTTTGTTTCTGTTTAATGTTTGATTCATGAATGATCTTAGGAGATGACAATGAGATTGCATGTGCATTTTGTCATCTAATCTCTAGCACTGCTGTTATGGTGAAAAAGATGGGCCTATTAGGAAATGTGGGAGCCTTTTGACGTATTGCATCCATTGGTTTTGAATAGGCCTTTTGCACTTTACAGCTATTTTGAAGCATCAAATTTATACTTATTCCTCAACTTGTGTGGATGACTTGTGTTGTGACAGTGTTGGACGCGTTTCTTAATCCGACAAAAGTCTTGGTTTCTGTATTCTTAAGAAAAAATCAGCTCTCCCCGTCGCCCACGTACCTTGAATCTTAAATGCTTTGGGGATGTTGTCGATAATGTATCTGTGATATGGTAACGATATTTCATTTTTATGATTTTTAAAACTCCTTTCTTTTTTTTTAAGATTTTTAAAACTCCTAAAGATGAAGAGAAATCACTGAATTAGAGAGCATCACAAGAAACATTTTGGAAAGCCTCTTAAACTATTAAACATTTGGAACTCATGCACGCACATGAAATTAGCAACATGACATGGATTTTTCTTTTGATTCAAATCTATACATTTTAAATTAAAAAAAAAAAGGAGGGGGTGGAGAACCGAATAGAACATGAGAAGAGCGTGGAAACTGTTGTCTTGCAGCTACGCAAAGTCTTTGTTTTCTTGTTTGTACATGATTTTTTTTTCTAAAAAATATTAGCCGTGTGTATAGGTGTGAAGAATAAAGATTGTATAATTATTAGACGTATAATTATTTAAATCAATTAGAAGTTTAACAGTACTAGTTCTAGCTGTAGTTTATTTACCTCTTTGAACTTTGAAGCCTCACCTTCCACACACAGTCCAAATTACACACCTCTCTGGTTTCCCACGCATTAAAGTTAAGTTAACACTCTGAGCACTGAATTTCTCTTTCTTTCTTTTTTTTTCTTATTTTCCTCTAATTTCGAAAATTATTTTCGCCGAAAGAAAAGAAAAAGTCTTCACCTTTTTTTTCTCTTCGGTGGGTTCATTACAGTACACTACAAACATCTCTGAAACCTTGCTTTACCTTGTTCTGTCTCAACATCAAAACCTGCTCTTTTCTTCTTATTCTGTGATCTGAAATCTTCTCCAAGTAAATCTGGAAGCCGGCAAGCTCTAACTAGGTACTTTACTATTAGTTTCTTGATTTTGCATCTGTTTATTTGATTATTCGTTGCATTGTTCTGTCCGAACTAGCTTTCACTTCAATCTTCTACATTCTTCTTTCACTCTGCAAATCCTGTTTCCAGAGAACATGTCTGAAAATAACGAAACGACAAAAAAAGAAAGAGTAAAGATAAGATTTTTATAAAACAAAAGAGTGTGGCTTTTCGAATGCTCCATAGGTTTATTCTTCTTTACTGTTTTAGCTAAGCGTTTGATTAGTTTCTAGACCCCATTTAACTTCACTTCTGTCCAAACCCTTGTGTTTGTTTGTATCTTAAAAGTTGCTTACTTGATTCTAGGGTTCCTTACCTTATTTGACTAGTCCAAATAAGATCCAAGTCATGTTTGAGTTTGAAGTTGCTGTAGCAATCATTACCATATTCACTCAATTCTTGAACTTTTCAGAGCTTTTTTTAAAGGTTTCAATCTCTCTCTAGTGTGATGATGCTGCTTCCGAGATGGTTTGCAGAAGCAATCTTACTCCTAATCTCAGTTCTTGCGTTTACAAACGGTAAATTTCACCTAAAACCACATTGTATCACTTCTTGATCAAATTTCTAATATGATTCTTTTTTACAGCTGCATACATTGGCGTTAACATAGGAACAGATCTAACCAACATGCCACCTCCTTCAGACATAGTCACACTCCTCAAATCACGACAAATCACACACATCCGTCTCTACGACGCCAACAGCCACATCCTCAAAGCCTTCGCCAACACCACCATCCAAGTAATGGTCGGTATAACCAACCAAGAAATCCTCAAAATAGGACGCTTCCCTTCAGCAGCCGCCTCATGGGTCAACAAAAACGTCGCCGCCTACGTTCCATCCACCAACATAACAGCCATCTCCGTCGGCAGCGAAGTCCTCACCGCATCACCCCACGTGGCTCCCATCCTAGCCTCAGCTCTCAACAACATCCACAAGGCTCTCGTCGCTACAAACCTCAACTTCCAAGTCAAAGTCTCCACTCCTATGTCTATGGACATAATGCCTAAACCTTTCCCTCCTTCTACTTCCACTTTCAGCCCCTCCTGGAACACCACCGTTCACCAGATCCTCCAGTTTCTCGACAACACTGGCTCCTTCTTCATGTTGAATGCTTATCCTTACTACGGTTACACGACCGCTAACGGTATTTTCCCGCTAGATTACGCCTTGTTCAAGCAGCTTTCTGCCGTTAAGCAGATCGTTGACCCCAACACGCTTCTGCATTATGATAGTATGTTTGATGCGATGGTTGACGCTGCTTACTACTCCATGGAGGCGTTGAACTTCTCTAAGATCCCCGTCGTCGTTTCGGAAACTGGCTGGCCTTCCTTTGGAGGAAGCGACGAAGCTGCTGCGACGATAACTAATGCGGAGACGTTCAATAGTAACTTGATCAAACGCGTTTTGAATAACTCTGGTCCTCCTAGCAAGCCGGATATACCGATAAACACGTATATCTACGAGCTTTATAGTGAAGATAAACGGTCTGGACCGGAATCGGAGAAAAACTGGGGAATGTTTTATACTAACGGGACTTCTGTTTATCCTCTTGGGTTAAACGGTGGTGGTGGTGGTGGCTCTGGTTCTGCTGATTTGAATGGTACGATGTTGTTCTGTGTGGCGAAAGTTGATGCTGATGATGATAAGTTGGAGGATGGTTTGAATTGGGCTTGTGGACAGGGACGAGCTAACTGTGCAGCGATTCAACCGGGGCAAGCGTGTTATATGCCGAATGATATTAAGAGTCATGCTTCTTATGCTTATAATGATTATTATCAGAAGATGAAGGGTGTTGGTGGGACTTGTGACTTTGATGGTACTGCCATCACTACCCCTAGAGATCCTAGTAAGTTATCTCATTTCTTTTAAATCGTTACGTTTTGAGAGTTGTCTGAACTAATCGGACATGATGCGTTTTTGTATAGGTTATAGAACATGTGCATATACGGGAAGGTAATGATCATTTTTTAAAGTTTATAAACGTATCATTTGGTTAACTTAATGCAATCTTGTTGGATCTAATCTCAGCCCAAACGCAAACGGAACTGGTGGGAACTTTCCTCCGACTGCGTTAGGACCCGCGAGTCAAGTAGGAGGGAACGCAAACGCACTTATCATTTCTATTAACCATCTTCCCTTCTTGGCAACGTTAGCTCTCAATCTACTACTACTACTGTAACTTCAGTGTTGAAGTAAACCGGAGAAGTGTACCGGTTTGCTTGGTTATTTCCGGTTATCGGAATTGATTGTTTTACTTTTGGTGTAGTCTTTTAAGTGTAGCTAGAGAGAGAGAGAGAGATCATATGTTGTCATTCTTTTTGTCTTCATCTTTGAACTGTAATCTTTCGAGAGTGATTTAAGATTTAATTATCAAGTGAACTATGTATCTTGTAATTTATTTAAAATCATGAAAAAGATTAGCGCTATTCCTGAAATTCAATAAAAATTTGGTAGACTAGTTTTGATATTGGAGAATTATAAAGTTTCTTTCCAATGTGTTACAAGAACTATAGATTTTGAATAATTATTCAATCAAAATTATTGAGTATTCACGTGGTAATAAAACAAGATCCTAACTCATGTGATTACGAAAAATCCAAAACACAATAATATTTGATAAATTATATTTAGCTGTCAAAAAATGATTATTACGAAATTATTGACATGGATTACGCCACGTCAGCAATTATCACTCCATTCGTTTTTTAACTGATCAGACCAAAACGCTGCGTTTCGAACATTATTCTCTCTCCAACGGAGTTTGAAGCAAAAACGGCCAAGTGAAAATGGATTTTGGATAAGCAGAGTAGGGACGAAGAAGAAGAAGAGGACAAGAGATGATGACGACACCAGGGGGAAACGGGAGATTCAAGGCGTTACCGACGGCGATGTACGCGGGATACTCAGGAACGGCGTCGTCTTGGGTAGCGAAGACATCGGTATCAGCGTCAGGGAAGAGGATACAGAGAGAGATGGCTGAGCTAAACGTGGATCCGCCTCCTGAGTGTTCAGCTGGTCCCAAAGGAGATAATCTGTACCATTGGATCGCCACCATCATTGGTCCCTCTGGTTAGTTAGTTAGTTAGTTAGTTAGTTAGTTCTTGATTCTCTCTCTCTCTCTTCTTAAAGAAAGATCTGATTGAAACTTATTAGTTTCCAATAAGAAAGTTGTGAGCTTTTTGCAGGGACTCCTTATGAAGGAGGGATCTTTTTTCTTGATATGATTTTTCCGTCTGATTATCCTTTTAAACCACCAAAGGTATGAGCTTTTTTGATAGATTGTTTGTCAAAGTAGCTAACTTTATCAAAAAGTTGGGAGCTTTACTGGTTTAGATGGTATTGAATTATGTGTTTAGAAGTTTGATTAGAGTTGAAAGGTGATGTCTTTAGGTAGAAGATACTTACTACTAGTTATCAATGAGTACTCTCCCAACTTCAACATCTATGTTGGTCTTTTGATTAAGGCTATGTATGTTGGCATATAAAGTAGTTTTCTTTCTTGCATCAAAGTCTTATTGGTTTGTTTTTGTAGCAAAGTCTTGACCATTTGAGGTTTTAGAGACTTGAGCTAACGGTTTAACTCTTGAGCTTTTTTTTTTGTTAGTGTTTTGGTTAAGAGAGTGATGATTTTGCAGGTGGTGTTCAAGACTCGGATCTACCATTGCAATGTCGATACTTCAGGGAATCTGAGTGTGGAGATTCTAAGAGATAGTTGGAGTCCGGCTCTTACAATCACAAAAGTCTTGCAAGCCATTAGATCCATCTTTTTAAAACCTGAGACATGTAAGTAGTCTCTACTCTCATCATATCAGACAATTGGTTGTGTCCTTTCTATAGCGTACATTTTTTAAAAATATATTTGTTTTTTCGTTACCAGACAATCCAGCTTTACCAGTGATTGCACGGCTCTACCTGTCAGATAGAGAAAAGCATGAGGAGGTAGCAAAAGAGTGGACATTGCGATTTGCCAAGTGAACAAAGATTTGAGAGACTTTTTAATACGAGGAAAGACAAAAAAGAGAGATATTATTGTACGTACACCTTGTTATTTTGATGAATGATCCCAATCAAGGCATCCACACCAAAGTGGAACAACAATGTTAGATGACCAAAGAAATATTGTTTGCACTGAGAATAGTTAACAATGTCAGGGTAGGACCTATCCTCATCAATAACTATAATTCCAATCTTGTGTCAAAAACTTTTTATTTTGAGAACCAAAGACTATATGGTTTCGAACTTGACTGATAGATAGGCTGAAAGAGACAAGTATCTATCTTCTACAACGGCGACAGCTTGAAGATGTAAAAGAGATAAAAATTTACAGATTAGGTAATCAAACTGATGAAGATTATTAGTTGCTACCTAACAGGTTTCTGTAGCCTTTAAAATTGCTTTATTCCAAATAATAAGATCAATGCTTTCCGTTGTAGACCAAATCTACCGGTCAATTCAGCTTTACATAGTTATTACAAATCTTCAACATATATATCATATATATTCAGAGAGAGAGATAGACAGGAGCATTAAAAATGTTTTAAAGCAAAACAAAAAAACAACGAAAGACATTGAACATCAATGTTCAGAAAAGTGTAGCATGTGTGTTTGAGTCTCTGCGACTGTTTCCAGTTCATATCCGTAAGCTACCTTCTTAGTCCATTTTGTTCATTATTTTGATTATTGACATAATTGTGCGTATTAGATGTGTATATATATGCTGATGAGTGTGTGGTATGTTATATGCATCTCTATGGATCATGTATGTATGTATTCCATGCAAGACGGATTCCATGTATATATTCTCGATTTATTAATCAGTTACAGTGCTCCCCTTCCTTGAAATATTTTCTTTTTGTTGTTTTAGTCACAAGTTACACCTTCTTTACGAATTTTCTTTTAAACTTTGGTACAACGACGATAGATCTTGGGACATAAATCAAGTATCCAGCCAGCATCCAGTTAATTTTTTTTTTTTTTTTTGTAACAGCATCCAGTTAATTAATGACGATATCTAACTATAAATTCAAATTTCTTAAAATACATTTTATAAGTTATTCCTTGAGAACTCATTTTATATTGTTAATGTCTATAATTAGTTGTGCAAATAATTTTAGTTATACATGTATTTAATTTTCCTGCTGTGATGTGAACCGAAGGGTCAAAGAGAAGGTTAGGTCGGAGCTGAATATATTCTCACATGCGAAGAATTCGTTTAAGTCAACTTATTTAAAGGTCAATCAATCTAACGGCTCTTATTTAAAATGATATCGGTATTGTAGGTTAGTAAACGTGACTCACGTCCATAAGAACTCATGTTGTCTGTTGTTCTAAACTTTATTATCTCCATGAACACCATTTGTGGTTGTTCTGGTTTTAATTCATGTGTTTCTTAGAGGTTTTTTATCTTTTTGCAGCCTCGAAGAACAGAATTGGTGTAAAGCAGATTCGGGTTCAATTCATTGTAACCAAAACCTTCATTCCATGAATGATATTTACCATTTAGCAAAAAAAAAAAAAAAAAAAAAAGAACTCATCTTTATTCGTTCTAACAGAATTATAAAGGATATGATGAATTAATTAGGCATAAACTGCACAATGAAACGCATGCACATACATTTTAGTAAGGTAAGATTATAATCGTTAAGATACATTCAGGAAGATATATGTGAAGCTTCAGTACTAAACTTTGAGTATTCAACTTATTATATATACAACCCATATGTACTGATAATCTAGACATGCATGTATATACTTGTGATAATGTTTCAAAATAGGATTTAAGAAAATACTTGAGAAGTTTTGAGTTTTGATTATAATATAGTGTTACATGCATGAAAATGGAGTTTTTTTCCTTAAGTATGTAAACCTTTCCCGAATAGTAGGGCTAGTATCTTTTTATATACAATACAGATGGGTTGCAGTTGCTCGATATCTCCTACTATCATGTAAGACAATTAACCATTATTTTCACATTTTGTAATTTGTACTTAGTTAGGAAAACATGATGATAGAAATATATATATGTAGACTAAAGAAGACTGTTTGTAAGAACCTTATCACTAAATTACTTATTAGCATTAGGCATGAAATGGATACATGATCTGCGGGAAAAGAGATATATATCCATATATATATATGTTATCAATTACACATAGGAGGTATTTTGTAATCACACAATTACCACAACACAACTTAGCACACATATATACCAATCTCTGAAATCACACGCGAGTACACTTCTCATCGAAGCATGATAGATATAGAAGACATCACGATTCATAAAATTACATATCTTCTGGTCTCTAGTCATGTCCTAAGCTCGACGACGTTCCAACAATCTCATCGGTACAATCCTGCGTCTGCAACGACTGGGATAATATTGGAATATTACTATCCAACGGATCCTCATTGATAAGCGAGTTCAGAAACGAAGAGAACTTGTCATCGTAACAGAAACCAAAGTCTTCATCACCAAAGACGCTGACACTGATCTTAGTAACGGTGGTATCATCAGTGTGAGAACTAGAATTAGGATCTAGAGGAAGGTTTTGTCCACCGGAAACTTCTTCTTTGGGTTTATGAGAGTTGTTTGCATCAAGAGGCTTGTGGGTTTGAGGATCAATGCCTTCTCTTAAGAGTTTCTTGCTAAGATGAGTGTTCCAATAGTTCTTGATCTCATTATCAGTCCTTCCCGGTATCCTCCCCGCGATCAGTGACCACCTTATAACACAAAGTTTATAAAAGTCATTAACATGACTACACATGTGAATTTAAAACAACAACGATATTACTTACTAGCTAATCCTATACAACAAGCTTATATATAGCTCATTTTTGTTACATTGTATCCTATATAACAAGCTTATATATAGCTCATTATTTGTTACATTGTCTTGACACAAATAATATGAAAAAAAAGTTCTGAATTTACTAGAACTATTAGCCTTAGAACCAGAAAACTAAAATCATCTTTACATTAAATATAATAACAAGAACATGAAAAGATAACTATTTTGTTGAAAATTTCAATCAACAATCAAAGTTTATGCAGAAGAAACATAAGAGTTTATACAAAAGTATTTGGTGATAAATATATCTACCACAAAAATAAGAGTAGATACAAAAGTATGTAGTGATAAAATGACCTACGTAAAATGTGATATAGAATGAAAGAATCTTGATGTTTGTGTAAAAGAAAGAAACAAAACCCTAGTTAACAAAAACACAACTAGTTGATGCGTAAACACACACGTACGAATAACCTAATTACTTTTTGGAGTTGATCTCATGATTAATTATTATAATATATTCGCACCGGTTGCCAAGTAGTCGATGAAGGCGGAGGATGAGATCTTCCTCATCTGGAGTGATACCACCACGCTTTACAGAAGGCCGGAGATAATTCATCCACCGTAAACGGCAGCTTTTTCCACATCGGAGTAAGCCAGCTCTTTTGGGAAGCGATCTCCACCTTCCTTCACCTTCTTTATTGATGAAACTCACAAGAATCTCGTCCTCTTCCATCGTCCAAGGTCCTCTCTTCATCCCCATCTTCGTGCAACACGGTGTCGTTTTCTTAACCGTCTTCAACATAGTTTACTTCTCTCTCTCTCTCTCTCTTTTAGCTAGGGTTTGGTGATCTCTCTGAGTTTCTTGATTGGTTAGCTTTTTTTTCCTCAATGCTCTCTCTCTCTCTGTCTTCCTTAGTTTACTGATGTTGCCAATGAACCTACCGACTTTTTTCTCACTCTCTTGTCTTGGTGTTTGGTGATTACGCGCTTCATGTCTCAATTTTGTTGACTGTTGTTTTTTTTTTTTTTTCGTTTGGTAATACAATTAAAGAATGTTCGTTTTGGGTTCCTACGTATACATATCTCAGACCACCGTGTGCCATGCGGGGGTTAGATGCTTTCTTAACTGCTTTTTTTGTGTGTTAAAGATCACATTATTGTAAGGGTCACTATACAATGTGTGGGTGGTGGCCATAACACTCCGTTAATCTTAACTCCTTCGAAATAAAGTGTTGAAAACTGTTGATAATACGTTCATTAATGAATACTAACCACCTTGATTTCAAAACAATTAATTAACAATGACAGAAACTAATGAACGAAGCATTCAATATTTATACCGATCGACTTTTTAAAAAAACGATGAAAGTTTCATTAACTGGACAAAAAGGCCCTTACCCAGACAGCATCTAGAGTACTTTTAGGTTCCGATGTATTAGAGCACCTTTATCGCAGGGAATTATTGGGTGCTTAACCTTTAGAGGCCCACCTAAACACCAAACAATGATGTCTCCTGAGTCCTGATGCTAAATAATCACTCCATTTTTATTATTGCTTCAACTGTTCGCAGACCCACTAATATGTGACGATTCGCGATTGGTTGTTTTTCAATATTTTTTCTTTTAATCAGACAAAAAATTTAAACACTTCTTTTTTTTGGGATTCAAGATAATGGTGTTCTTAAACCATCTCCAAAAAAGGATCCAAGTAAGTTCTAAGTGTTGTATCTAAGTAATTATATGCATAAATTTAAATAAAAAAGACACAAATTAGATAGATATGGTTCTATAATTAGAGTTTTTGAAACTACTTCTAAATGATATGTGTAGTTTTATGATAGGTAGTGTTTTAAAGATTGACATGCTTTACTGTCTGCTTTACAGTTTTTATATCATGTGGTTGTTTCACAATGTGAGTTCTTAAACATTGACCTGCTTTGCTACGAATTGAACGTGTTCTTTTTTTGAAAAAAAAAACAAAGGTTTGTTTACCTGCTATGTGATCAGGTTGGGACCTATGAACACTGAACTGAAGGAAATGAAAAGGGCAATTTACCGAAAACGGACAAAGCTTGGTGAAGGCGTTCATCCAGAGGAGGTAAAACATGTTTTCTTTTTGCAGACACCATGCTCGGTTGAGTAATTTAACTAAGAATAATGTGCTCATATGTAGTAATCTCTTATTACAAATTTTCAAATTTTTGAAATTTAGAACTTTTAATTGATTCTACCATTAGAGGGGTTAAAACTAAATAAGTATCCAACATTTTTAATTAAATTATTTTCATTTAAAAAATTGATTTAGAACTCTAATGGAAGATCTATTGTTGGAGATGCTCCTAAATGCTAGACCTGGAAGTGCTAAATCATCTGGTTTACTTGCTCATATGATCTCTACGCTGAGTGCAGATGTTGTAAGGGAATACTTGGAGAGAGTAGTTGATCTGCTTCAAATTTGCTAAAGCTGATACAACAGTAAAGTCGTCATACATGTGCAGTCAAAGCTTACTCAATCACTTTTTTCAGATGTTCAATTCAACCGTGTAGAACCTTCTATTTTGTTAAAGGAAACTTGAAAATATTGTTTAAGCTTCGTTTTACTTGGACAATTTCACATACCTTTCCTTTTTTCCAGATACTTGAGTGCACAAATCATTTATCAACTGATCCAGACTGCTTATAGAATATTCAGCGTGCAGATGCAATATCAAATTTGATCCCCAACCTTTAGCTTAAGAATAGGAATCGTGTTTACCAGATCCATCACGAGGTTTCCTCCTAGAGTTTGCATATATGTAACCTTCAACTGTTGGTTAGAAGTTTTTGTCTAGAATGCTAACTATAAGTTTTAATTGATGTAAGTGCTTAGTGCACTATTCAACATGTGCAAGATAAACAAGAGGAGGCAAGAACAAGCGGCTGAGAATGGAATCATACCGCACATGATGCTTTTCATCATGCAAGACTCTCCTCTTAAACAATATGCATTGCCACTCCCATGTGATGGCTCATGTGTCTCGGAACTCAAGAGAGCAGTTAAGAGCTCACGGTGGTCTGCACGTGTACCTGAGTTTGTTGGATGATGAATATTGATCAGTGATAGCATTGGATTCAATTGCTGTTTGCTTGGCGCAAGAAAATGACAACAGCCACAAGGTGAAGCAGGCGTTGCTCAAGAGCTGTCCTGAGAGACCCTTTGTGCACATACTTGAACCATACTTGAAGATCATTACGTATGTGTCTCTCCTCTTTATAATAGACTATCACCTTCATGTTCCAACTTCTTTAGACTAATCCTTGTGATTCTTGAATGCAGGAAATCATCTAGGATCAACAAGACAGTAGCTGTAAATGGATTGCCTCCGTTGTTAAATATGAGACTAGACCATCAAGATGTTATTGCTAGACTCAATATGGCTGAAACTCATCAAGGTTAAAAACTCCTCAAATGTTAATCCAAGTTCTTGCTTGTCTGTTTTTTGTTTGTTTGGGAGTTGAGTGTTTTTGTGTTGACTCTCAGGCTGTTTACGAGCACCATCCAAAGCCAAAACAGCTGATAGTAACCCTCAAAAGCTGAAGAATCTGATAGAAGAAAGACGTTATGGACAATGTTCGAGAAGTCAGTTCTGGTGAAGCAAATGGCAACTTCTCTACTCAAAGCACTACACATTAACACGGTCTTGTGAGTCCTTATCCTTTGCGACTGTACGTTTATAAGTCAAGTGTAACGTCTGCTTTTATCAAATGCTTTCACTGTATGATGCTGCTGATTGAGAACTTAGATTATTTGTATAGCTTATGTAGCAATCGCTGCTTTTTTAGTTCCTCTCGAGGGCCAACACTTGTGGCTTTTGTAATATATATATATATATATATATATATATATATATATATATATATATATATTGATTCAAATTAGTATTTTCTAACGATTTTTTGTGTGATAGCTGATTATTTATTATTCCTGATGTGGTCTTATGAAATACTTTGCAATCAAGTTCACAAATATGGCATAGACCAAAATGAACAGAGTCCCATGATCAATTCACTTGTATAGTTGAAATCTTCTTTGCATACAGTTGATCAAGTAACTACAAGTGTCCTTGCAGACTATGCACTATCTTGCATATAGTCTTCTTTGCTTACAGTTAACTTTTTCAAGAATCAAGAACTTGCGGGTCTAATATGTATTCGAATAACGAGTGGCCTATCCATATATATAGATATTTAGATCTACAATTAGCCAAAGAAAGGGATATTCTAACAAATAAATGTGAACCTATAACATTGGAGCGTATCTCTATAGTCAACAAATAACAGAGATTACTCAAGCAGATAGGATCTTTATTATACGCACAAATAAAATCCTCAAAACCACATCTTTTAGAATAAAATCTAAAAAAAGCTTTGAAGAAGAACTATGTGCGATCCCCAATATTTAAAGTCACGTTTTTAATCTAAAATTTTACAAGAAAATAACTGTGTAGACTGTTTTTTTTCAAAAAAAGAAAAAATAACTGTGTAGAATGTTAAAAATCAAGAACAATGAATCAACTTTAAGAACAAAAGGTGCTCAGGTTTTGAATGAATGGTTGGGAAGTATTTATCCTCAATAAAAATATCAGATTAACGAGATTACATAAACCCATCATCACTGCACCAACTTTGATTTTTCAAAAAAAAAACGTTCAAGAAAACAGACTGAATCTAAGGAAGATGAATGAAAAACGCAGCTCTCATTTAGGGTTGTTGGAGGTTAACCTTATTTATAGGTGTCACGTTAGGTTTCCACGAGTTTACTCTATGTAATGGGCCTTATTCCTTCTTTGGGCCCATTATTCTGTGATGGTGAATCTTAGGCCTTTAGGCTATCGCTGCTTTCCCCCACCCAAAAGAAAAAAGCAGACAAGATTTTGCTTTTAAGACATCACATAACATGTACGATTGGGACATCAAACATATGTTGTGACTTGTAGATTACATTCACGCTAACGTGGGACTGAAACTCGGCAAAAACACTATTGTACCTTTTGTTGATAACTCAAATAAAATTTCATTTGCGTTAGCAAACGTACTGAAACAAATGAGGACTCTAATTTGGGTTTTCATCTAGAGACCAATATATTTGTTAGACAAACTGTAACGAAAAAAAATAGCAAATAATTGAGACCTAGATAGGTAAAATGACAGCTATAGCTGCTCCTAATTTCTTATGTGGTTAAGTTACATTCAGCCAATCATAAGAAAAAAGTTGTATTCATCTTTAGCTTTTTGCTTAAGAGGATTGGTTTCCTTCCATCAACACTCTGTACATGTCATCATCCACTCTTCTTTTCATTCGCAGGCCGTAAAGATGAATATGGATACAAATAAATTTATGAATATATGGAGAACATTCTGGAAAGAAGGGGGAAACAAAAGCAAAATATTATTAATCAAACTAAAAGAAGTGGCTGCCACTTACAAAAGCTTTTCAGGGCATTCCTCGAAGCCACAAACATGAACTTAGAAAGAAAAATAAAAAGAAAGTTATGGTCCCATTGCTTCTGTGCATCGCACATGGCTTTAACATGCTAGTGTTTGATACCATCCCATACTCCGAATATAAACATCTTGTTTATTCTATTACACTTAGTTAGTTGGTAGTCTGTGTTTGGTTGGTCTGAAACTTAGCTAGTGTAAAGTTATGTAATAGATCTATGACACTAGGTTAGGTTGCGTTTCAACTACTAGCTAGTTATATGAAAATTATCAGTATTAACTGCAAATTAGTTTGATGCAGTTAAGGTTGCAAGGAGATTCC